GTACATAATAAACATTTTTGGACCCAGTACTGAACCTTGAGGTACTCCACAAGCTATATCCATCAAATTAGATTTATATTCATTTATTTGTACATATTGTTGCCTATTCCCAACATAGCTTTTTAACCAGTCCAAAACCACTCCCCTAAACCTGTACCTTTCCCTTGTTTTTAATAGAATTTCATGATTAACAGTATCAAATGCCTTCTTTAGATCTAAGAAAACGCCGAGCGCATACCTCTTATTATCCATACATTCCGTTATCTTTTCCATTAAATCCATCAATGCCAAAGCTGTTGATCTGTTGCTTCTGAACCCATACTGACTATCTGTCATTAATTCATATTTTTCCACAAAACTGTCAAATCTTTTTATGAAAAGTTTTTCCAGTATCTTAGAGAACTGGGAGAGTATTGACACTGGTCTATAGTTTGTAAAATGATGCCTTTCACCGGTTTTGTAAATGGGAATAACTTCAGCAACTTTCATTTTTTGTGGAAAAACCCCTTTTTGAAACGACAAGTTGAATATATATTTTAATGGTTTTACAATACCATCAATAACTGTCTTTACTGTTACCATATCAATATCATTCCAGTCTGCACTGGTTTTGTTCTTAAGTCCTCTAACTATGTCATACATCTGTTTCTCTTCCACTGCTCTTAAAAACATTGAGCTTCTATTCCTTTCAATATTTTCACCAGTGTCCCTTTCTATTCCATCAACCATTAATTCATTCATTAAAACCATTTACTATCTCTTTCATATTATTGATACTTCTTGTCCTTTCTATAAAGTACCCAGGGTAATCATTATTCCTTGATTCATTTTTGATTATACTGTTTAATACATTCCATATATCTCTTGTGTTATCTTTATTGTGTTCTAACCTTTTAATTAAATATTCTCTTTTACAGGATCTCATTATATTAGTTAATTTATTTTTGTAAGTTTTATACTTCCTTTCAGTTTCTATTGTTCTCTTTTTTATGAATTCTCGATATAGGGTATTCTTTTTTTTGCTGGCATTTTGTAATCCTTTAGTCATCCATGGTCTTCCTGTATAGTTGTGTTTCCTGTCGATTTCAATTACTGGGCAGTTTTTAATGAAGTAATGTCTTAAATGTTCTTAAAAATACTTCGTAAGCTTTATTAACTTCTGTTTGTTCATATACAATATTCCAATCTTGCTTTAAAAGTTCATTTCTAAAACAGTTTAATGTCTTCTCTGTTCTTATTCTTTTGTAAATAATCTTGTTTACCATCGTTGTTCACTTTATAATGGCAATTATAAGATGCAAAGACTGGTAAATGGTCACTTATATCGTTGATTAAAAGCCCACTTTTTATATTTTCTTCTATTATATTTGTAAATATATTATCTAATAGAGTTGCACAATGTTATTCTGGTCGGTCTTGTTATCAGTGGATATAAACCCATTCTGTACATGGAATCTATACAATATTTGCTCTTTAAATGCTTTGCTTCTTTAAGTGATTTTTATTGATTTTTATGCTGATTTTTTCCCTTTTTTCCGTATGAGCTTACCTGCGATAGCTTCTGGACACTTATAGATCATTTGGATTAAAGTGTTCTGAACAGAAACAGCAACATTTTTATAGTTACCTTATCCTCAGCGCTCCGTGTGTCTGTGGCCTACACACAGCTGAAGCCTGATTACAGCGTCTGGGCACCGAACAGCCTCAATAGCCTGGAAAGGTGCTAACCGCTAGGCTAACTAGCAACAAGATGCCTTCCCTCTCCACAGATGACTACCACAGTCACCTGCAGAAGATTGCAGTACTGGAGACAGAAATTCATTGCTTAGAAGTAAACGTGGAGGTAGATGGACTGTGTGGAAATGAAACAACCTTGCCTTTGATTCAAAACAATGGC